CGAAGTAAGTTTTTTCCCCTCCTGAGGCATTCCCCCCCCCCCCCCCATGCTAAGTGCTACTTGCAAAAACTAATAAAGGCACAGATCCTCTTATCGACCCATTGCCCAATTTGCTAGACAACACGAGCTGGAATCCCACTGGGGCCGATTGCCCTTCCCGCCCTTGACTTACCCATCCTACTTATGACCCCTTTAAATTCAGCAGTCTCTTCATCGACCATATAGCACGGTCTCACCTTCCCTTACTTTCTCAACCACAACCATAACAAGAAGCCAAGCGCTATCTTTCCTGATATGCAAAAATACACTAATTTTTTTCCGTAGAACTCATAATTCCTCGATTACGATTTCCTGGATGTACGCGTCGCTGACCCTGGTCATGGTCTATCATCTTCGGATTCGTACAAGCAAAGAAGTCATTCGGTGCTCTGGCTATCCCTGTTGTTCTTGACGGACCCAGTGGAATGTTGACTCGTGCCGCAGGCATAGTGATTAAAAAAAAAGGAGCTTCGGGATAATTCCTAAAAATTAATTGCGAGTCACTCCTCTCACTCCTACTCCACTTACCCAAGACCCCACCTCGAAGTAACCTCATCTTTATGAGCTGCTTCATTCCCCGCGCGCCTGTATGGATTCCATAACTGCTTCTCCTCCCCATGCAGTTTGGGCTATCTTTTTTACTTCGTGGAAATGCAAATATAAAAAATATGCCTTGAATTTCCCCCACATGAATTCACAGCAACGAATCCCCCCCATTATTTACAAGAAACACCTTGTGGAGTCAAACTTCGTTTTCTTAGTTTTAAGGATTAAATTAATATCACATTCCCAACCCAGATACTAGCGTCAATTAATTAGGTAAGTACCCCCCGGACCAAAGGATTTTTTTTTGCGGAGTATACGTGGGTTCTGTTTTTGCACAAATTCTTAAAACTCGATGCAACCATGTGCTGAAGAGATCCTACACTCCGACCAGGAGCTGAATTAAATTTACAAGCCTCACAACACAAATACATTTTAAGGAATGTCCGACAACAGAGCCGGAAGCCGATCCGCCGAGTCCAGACAATGTGATCCATCCCGAGGTACCGGGCACTTAAGACACTTCGTACAACCAACACAGCGCCCGAAAGGTCCTCGAGTTTGCGAGCGAGTGCAGGGAAGTGTATCATCGTGATCATGGAACCGAACTCGCCTCCAAGTCTAGTTGATATAACAAACGTAAGGTGTGCTCACGTTCGCTATGTCAACCTCCACATCAAACACAGGTGGAGTGGGAGCGGGAGGGTGTAGACTAAACTAAATACGTCCCAGAATTCTCCATGGAAAGTGCTCACCTTCATCAGAAGTATCATCATCGCTGTCGGAGTTGAAGCCTTCATCATGTGAGAGCTCTACGGATGCAGGGCTCAGAACTCCCCCTGATAAAGTAAAAAAAAAAATTCTTTTGAGACCATAACATTCACAATGCAGCTCCCATGAATGAAACAGAAACAATAAATGGCTACATCTTGATCACTAAATATGTGCAACTGAATTCAATTTTCTAAAACCTCTGAATTCCTTACCTAGGGAAACATTCCAATAGGCCTACCATAAAGCAGTGCATTCAAAACTTTTTATCTGTTGTAAGGACACAATAGATACCAGCGCAAGTAAACATCAGCACCTTACAGGATAGGAAATTATCCTACAATGGAGTAACAGTACAAGATTGTACAATAAAGCCCCATCAACATAAGTTTAAATGGGAATGACATGAAATTTAATTGCATTAAATAGTAATCCTTAGTAATTAATTTTCATGCATAGCATAGATGGACTTAGCACTTGTCACCAATTGGCAAGCACAGATAACTTCAATTCAGAGTCTGATGGAAATAGCACCCAGAAAATGAAAAGTTTGACAAGGGCAAGGAAGAAAATTTTTCTGAACCAAACCCAACAATAGATGGGAAATGGGGCATATGTGATAATAGAGTTCAGCAATAGAGTGCTAAGGGTTAATTTATATGTATGCATTTGCATATCTTCTGACCCATTAATAGACAAAATGTAAAGGTAGGGAAATGACTATGCCCATCTTACCAGTAGAAATAGAGGATGCAGAGCTTCCTATCGCAATAGAGTCACCCAGAAAGCTACTCCCAGATCTTGGTGCAAGGGCCTGGAATTTCTGATCCTGCTTCCAATGATAGAATTTGGATTCCACAGGGGCAGATGTTGAAAGCCTGTCTCTGGTGATCAAAGAAGATGCTGCAAGATCAGGGGAGGGCACAGAGGGATGGGCTTCCGGTCTGCTCTTGGTTATTGACACAGGAGATGAAGCAGGTGCTTTCTGCAGCAGCTGATGAAGGGTGGAATGCTTCTGCACCAAACGTGATGTGAACGTGCTTGTGCTTGAATGGGATGGGGCGGTGATGATGGGTTCTTGATTAGCAAGCTGAGGCTGAAGCTGATTGGGGCGTTTTGGCTTGGTGCCTGTGTGTGTTGGACTGGTCTGCATGCTTGAGCTGAACTGCTGATTAGTGAAATTGGGTCGAGTGGGAGCACTGGACGACATAGAAGGCTGATGGCTTGCAAAGGCTGGAGGTGGGAATGAGGAAGCAAATGTGCTCATGCAAGGATCCATGCAATTCCTTATCGGTTGCCCACCCATAGGGGGTTCTGATTTAGCCATCGCTATGACTTCACTTGCAAAATCTGGCAAGAGCAGGTCATCAAAGTCAAACTTGAAATCTCCCATCAGCCCAATGGATTCATTTGATGCATTCAACTCTGCAAGAGTAGGACCTTGGATAAGGTCTGCTTTGTCCACTTGAAAGATATCTTCTTCACCGCACTCTGTGCCCTCACTCCCAAGAGAGCCATTCATTTGACCCATCCCTTCTGGGCTTTTCTGGCTTAAGGGACTGCAACCACTGATACTGTCACTCAGAGGACCACTCACATTGTCACTGAATGGTCCACTCAGATTGTCACTCAAAGGACCACTCCCATTCTCGTTGGATGGAAGGTCAAAGTTGTACACAGAATCAACATCAACACTCAGAGGAGGAAGAAGTTCAAGCCTTCGAGATGTAGAGAAGTCATCAACATCCATGTCTCTTGGCTCCTCCTTGAAAGTGGGACAGAATGTATCCATGTTCATGGATTTATCAATATAGAGTCCTACCCCATTCATTACTCGTCGGTGTTCCATATGATCGCATGGGCCAACTTGGCTCACAATTTGGGATTAAAACACTGAAAACCTATTTAAAAAAAAGATAGAGAACTACTCATAAAACACTTCAGCTTGAAGCCTTAGCCAAGATCTATTGGTCTAGACCAGGGGTGTCAAACTTGATTAGGCCTTAGGGGTTTTATGGAAGCCTTTAGGGGTAATTAGGAGCCACAGTAAAAATCTAGCACCTAATTAGCAAACAGGCTGAAACTTGCAGTACTTTTCCCTAACCAACTGTTGCAGACTTCACAAGCTAGACCAAATGAACTGGCAGGCCGGATTCAGCCCTGGGCTGCTAGTTTAACACCCCTGGACTAGACCTTAGTCCCAAAATGTTCTCTCATATGCTTGGCAAAGGATAAAACTGCTGTTGAGGCAAAAGATATATGAAGAATTTAAACCCCTGAAGACACTTTAGGTTTTGCCTGAGTGAGAGACCAAGAAACTCTTCAGATCAGAATCAAACTCGTACTCTATGTACCGCTAGTTCACTACTCTTTCTTCTGCACTGTCCACAGATATCTATTACTTCTTATTTGTCAGTATCCACAGTTGATTTATTCACATAAATGCAGAACATCCAATTACCTCTTATAGGGCCTGGGTTCTTCTGTCCCAGGTCTATATATAGACACTTTGTGGAAGGTTTCTTTTTTAGTTGAATCCAATACCCTTGCACTAGTGATCCATAGAATCATTTAGAGCGCACATAAAATTTAAACAAAAAAAGGCTAGTATTTAAAAATTTCCAAAATGGGCCTAATGTTGGTCAAGCCTAGCCTTGTCTAAGCCTATTATAGACCCAATGTTATACGCCAAGGCCTTATCTTAACGTTAGGCCTGACAGCTTTCACGATATTATTCAGACAAGACCCAGTTTTTTTTTATCAGGTTCGAGATGCTTTTATTTTAATGACATGCCCCAGGCAGGCTAAGCTTCCTGCAGCAACCACTTTTGTCTGGGCCTACGCGTAACGTTATGATTATTTCTTTCGATTAGGCCTATTCATATGCTACTAAGATGAGACGAGAGTCAGATTAAAAATGGATCCACATACGACTTGATGCATCGAACTCAACTGAAGAACAATGCCTAAGATAAGGGCCAAGCAGCCCAAGTTGATGACTTCGCCTAGTATCTAGACACACCGGACAAGGCCCGCTAACGTTAGACCATCAAGGACAGTGACACAAGGACTCGTTCGCTCACCGTACTTCCATGTTCCAAGTTGGAAAATTGCACGTGGGAGCGTGAAAGAACTGGGGCCACTTGCCATTTTCTGAAAACCCTCATCTTGCAAACCTAAGCCCAATAGGGCCCCAAGTTAGACCTAACGTTAACTTTCGAGTACAATCAACCCTAGTCCTAGACTGGCCAATCATTCACTTCGTACTTTCTCAGAGTTCTTACACATTTGGAAGCTGGAAGGGTATAAATCTACTATATACCATACCTACTCAAATCGGACTTAGTGACCCATTGGCCTAGTCAGTATATCGGTAAAATAGTGCTTACGAAGCCGATTTGAAGCCTTGTAATGCCTCACACACCTATGCCTAAGGCCTACCACTACAGTTAACACTAGCACTAACTATTCACAAAACGGCTTAGCAATGCTTCCACAAGGACAGGCGTCCAACACATGATCAAAACATTCTCCTTTTCCGAGAAGGTCTACCGAGAAATGTTTACGTCCCCAGCATGGAATTTTCTGGAGGTCATATGACGTACACAATCAATCCTTCCAACAGCCAATCGGGAAGCCCCTTTGCCACATCCGACCAATGAGCGCTCTCCTTTCGAGTCTGTGGACGCACTGTGAATGGAAGCTCTGACACTGGAGTCATGTCATTGATGACAGCATTTAGATGATCCAACTCCCTGCCAATACTGAAGAGCTTCTTTGGATTGGGTGTCAG